GTTCCTTGTCCGATCCGATTTTCACAACCTTGAAGTGAAGCCATCCCAAATAAACCCTTTGTGTAGTTCGTTTATTTATTTCCTTTCATTAGTGAAAAGTTTCATTAAAGTTAGACTGATCTTTTGGCTCACTGTTTATGTCAATTAAGTAGGGGCAGCAGAGACTCTCATCATACACATGATGTACAGTATTTCAAGCATGAAATGTGTAAAATAATATTATGGAACAAATAGAGAAATTCAGCAATTGCCCTCAGTAACAATACAGAAATCAATAAATTTCATTAAAATCATAGCCTGCTACTATGACTAAGAACACAGCAGAAACCCACTACTGAATCAAAGTTTCTCCATAAAATGATCCAGCGAAGGAGACTTAGAGCAACTATTATGAATAGCAGTATAATTAGCAGGTAATTGCATCGCTGCTTGCTGTTTTGTTAGGATAATAATGGACAAAGAAATAAAAATAGATCTGTGGGCTTTGCTTGTTACCTAAATTCCAAAGGCAAAGTGGTTCATTGTAATTCCTCCCATTTCAGCCTGCAGCTTTTTCATGTAATATTTTGATCCTCGAGAAAAGTCGATCCTTTTCCGCCTTTCCTCTGGAATTGCCTCTATAGAACACTCGGAGAATCCTCGTCGAACAAACCTGTAACAATTGTTAATTTAGCCAACCTGTTCATAAATAGATTCCAAATGACGTTCTAAACCTAATTCAAGGCACATATAAATAGGGCTGTCAATCAAAAACTGACCCAGCACCATCCTTATCAATCTTAACCCAACCTATTTTTAGAAACGGGTCACTTAATCGGACCTGAAATCAAACCGCTTTGCGTCCGGTCAGCCCGACACGACCTATACTCGGAATTCATTAAAATTTGATTTTTAATGCAACAAACAATGAAATCACTTAAAAATCATAGAAAGTAAGCATTTTACAGCAGGTTTAAATCCTGAATCAATTAAGAAATCATTTACAAATCACTTGCAATATTACATATCAATTCCTCATTTACAAACCAATTGCTAATTAGTTATTAGCTCATTTACAAATCACTTATAAATTATTTACAAACCAACTGCTCATTTATACATTTACAAATCACTTTATGAACTACAAAAGAGTAAACAACAAATCCGAATATGGAAACTATGAAGTATGAATTACACTTTGATGAAAACATAAACAACAATCCTATTGGTCCACAAAATCAAATGAAAAATATTTTGCCAAGTCAGAGTTCTACAGTTTGTTTTGATCAGATTTTTAAGTTCAAGTTGTTTTATTATTTCCTATAATGTAAATGACTCTTCGAAATCATATATGTTTTAGATCAAGCTAGCAGTTATTATCAATGTGTTTGCTATGGAACAGACAAATTGGTAGGAGAGAGCACAACAAAAAAGCAGCATGCAGCTAGAGATTACAACAATGTTTTTCTCTGGAAAAATTGCAACATTTCCATGTGAGAACGTTAAATTGGTTACCAATGAAGATATTCTTAGGTGCTATCTGAACTCTACTTACAATGGTGAGACTATCTCACACATCCACTAATAGAAACCAATATACCATGCTCATAAAACATACTAAGATACACGTGAGAGAGTAAAATAATCCTACATAGAGAGATTTTTCTTTAAGAAAAAAAACTGAGTTGCTAATATGCTAGTAGTGGTCTTTATTGAGGTTTTGGGATGATAAGAGGTTATCAAGGATAAATAAATATAAATTAAGCTAGTTATATTGCATGGATCCGAATATCAGCAGTAAAATGGTTAATAATAAAGTTGAATAGGACGGAAATGAGAACATTTTTATATAAATATATGGTACAATCTAAGATGGACAATTTAAGGAATAATTACAATAAAGTGATGGCTTGAACACGCACAAGAAAAAATAGAAAGTACAAATATTTAACAAAGAGATAAACTATGTTTAATAATTAGAAAGGAAAGGAGTAGACCTAAGCTGATATGAACACATGTTTAACAGAATTAGCAAAAAATAGATCTATAATTGGAGGACACGTCTGGTTAGGTTCCATTGGTATACTTGATTAAATTTGACATATTTTAACCAAACCTTTTGCAGGATCCCGCCGTGCATTCATGCTCTGGAGAGGCTTGTCTTATAGATTAGGTGCTTTATCTTTTTTTAGTTTCATCGCTTGTCCTAGTGAGTTTTACGGACCCATTAGGCCGGAAGCTTCTAAAGCTCAAGCATTTGCTTTTCTAGTGAGAGACCAACGTCTTGGGGCTAACGTGGGATCCGCCCAAGGACCCACTGGTTTAGGTAAATATCTAATGCGTTCTCCGACCGGAGAGGTTCTTTTTGGGGGAGAAACTATGCGTTTTTGGGATCTTCGTGCTCCATAGTTAGAACCTCAACTCATGAAATATTCAAATGGTACAAATAAAAGAATATTCATGAAGCCAAATCCAATAGTTGAGTTACGAAACGATAATGCTGAAGAAGTTGAAATTTCCCCATTACTATAATATTGGATTAATTATATCATAAATTACTGCAGTATTTATTTCAATTATTTCATTTAAATTACAAGTTCTAGATTTATATTAATTAGTCATTTTTTTTAAATTGAAATTAGTCATAATTATCCTTTTGGAAAATATAAAGTTTGAATTTTAAATTATTTAGAATTAGATAAAATTAAATTTGATTTCATTTTTATAATCCTACTTTTGCAAATAGAAACTATTGTTATTTTAGATTAGTTATGAATTAATTGAATTAAAATTTCTCTCATATTATCTTTCATCTCTCTATTGGTGGATTCTAGATTCTCACTCTTCTATTCTCCGTTAGTATTTGAGCCTCCATTGATCTCATTTTTCATCAAAACATGTTTCTTCGAGCCTTCAATCATTCATTAATCCACGTTCGCATCTGATGCATAGTATTTGTACCGTAACCCTTTCAAGTTCATAAATCTACACTGCTCATATTTGTGTTTTGGTTCAACATCATATTCTCAAAGGACATTTGTGTCGCTCCCAATACCAACCAAATGCTCATTGGTGTGCTTCTCATCACAAACACTCCCTATACGGTGTTCCACCACTAGCATGTTTTCGGTTCAGTATGTTGAACGCTTGCTACTCGGTTCACAACATGCCCCGATTCCATGCTAGTATATGCACGTGTGCATCCCAATCTCGTGTTGAAATATACTCTCCTCACATTTGTGTATTCTCCTACAATCTATGCTCCCTAAATTTGAGTCAAATATATAAGCAAATCTAATTTTGATTATGTTCTAGATCTAATCATAGGCACAACAATCTTAAGAAGAAATACATCAAGTTAGTAATATATATTTCTTTAACCTTACTCACAAAGGTTATGAATTTCTCATATTATCATGGCAACAATGAAGGCCAAAGAAATTGACATGATAGATATAAGTGGAAGATAAATAACAAACTAATATATTCACCTATAAAGTTACAAAATTCTCAATATTCATAATGAATTAATCTTTTTTATTTTGTTAACATGTTTCATTAAAGTCAAAACTATGTGAGAAGATTGTTTAATTTTGAATATGACTGTGCAAATTTGATGAGACTTAGCAACAAAAGCTATTCTGATACGTACAATACCCGATCACAAATTTAAGTCACATGCAAAGGAAACTTCCCATTGTCTGTTCGAAATAACATTTCCAGGTGCATGTGCCTGTTATCTAGCTGACCTGCACAAATAAAACCCAAGTCACAAGCCCTTGGAGACCGAAGCCCTGCTACTATTCTGTAAGCAAACAATGGGCACAAGCATCTCATTTTTAATGTTAATTATGACTTAGACGTGTTCAGTCATAATACTGCACATGATAACTTTGCACCACTGGCTTTTTAACCAATTGTAATGACCAATTGTGCAAACCAATAATTCCTTTAGCACGAAGTTAATTTTCTATGGTGACAAGATAAAAAAACATCGCTATGAGTACATGGCTTCCACAAGCTATCCTCATGATAATTTTTTTAACATCTCTAGCTTCAAATTCTGATGTAAGCAACTTGAAGCAAAACACAAAGAGAGAACGACAAAGAGAATCAAGACTCACTTTTAGAAATTTAAGACACCACTTGGAGAACAAAATAGACTAGATAAAATGAGTGAAATTCAGATTAGACAAGAGCCAATCATCCAACAAACTCAACAAAAGAAGTTAGCAAAAAATACAAAACAAAATTAAAAAAAAACGCTATCCTCAGAACATCCTACAAGAGGACTCCTCACATGCACCGATTGTAGGAATATATATTAAAATAATGTTTAGATATGCAAACCAAAGGGTCCACCACTGCAAAGGAGATCCAATGTCCTACCAAACTCCTCCAGCAAATGCCACCAAAACAGCCAACAACATCACCAAAACGTACAGCCAACAAACTTTACCAACGGAACTAGAAGAAAGATACAGGTAGAGTGGAACTTGCGTAGAGAAGAAAGAGGTTAGAAGCCCAGACGAAGGGTGGGAAGGAACTCGCAAGTATTCCCTAGAGGAGAAAGAAGATGGAACAAAGCTCGCAAGCTTTTCCAAGAAGAACCCGCAGGTTATAGCAACTTTGCTCTCAATATTCACCACCCATTTCATCTCAAAGCATCTCATATATATAGGCAATAGAGGGGAAACTTAATAGCCCAAAAACCCTTCAAATCCCCATATAAAAATAATAGAAATGAAAGGCCAAAAGTCACCTTGCTGAATCCCAAGAGGCACAGCAAAGCAAAGAAGGAAAAAGGCCATGGAACCAGGTAAATTCACGGAACCCAGCAGCTTTTGTATAGAAATCCCAAACGGCATAGTAGTTCACAAGGAAAGCCACGGCTCCAGCACAGGAAACCAGGAGCCAAATATCGGGTCCAGCAACTACACATTTCACGGGAGAAAAGGGGGAAGTCACGGCAGTAAAGGAGATAGAAAACCGAGGGGACACAGCAGGCAACAGCAAGCCGTGGGAGAGGAATCCAGAAAAAAACTGCAGCAGCCCCAATTCAAATAGAATATGAAAGAACAAGTTCCACTCACCAACTCTAGCTCCCTATCATAAAATTTCATAACTAAACATCAGCTCATAATGAGCTACACCTCCACTTGATAATAATGAGCTGTCACCACTAGAATTTCAACAACTAAAGCTCAAACCGAAAACAACCAAGGCCCACATGAAACCAGCAAACAGCCCAAAGGACAAGGTGGACCCTAAAGCCAGCAAACCCAAGGTAAGCATAACCCAAACCTTTTCCTACCATGATCATTGGATTTACAACCATCATTGGATAGTTTAAAAATAAAACAAAAACTAAAAAATATAACTAATACTGTTCAAAACAAAAATAATGCAAAAATCTAAATGCATCAAATTCTGAATAACTAAGGTATCAATAGACCACACTTTCAAGATTCATATTAGCACTGCGATCTGACCCTAAGTTTTAATAGATTCACTGTGTAGTAGCCTTTGCTGGCACAAGTCACCATCATTCAGATGGCGCTACTTCATTTCAGCAGTAACGAATACACTTTCAAGATTCATATTATCACTGCGATCTGATCCTAAGTTGCATCAAATTCACTACGTAGTAACCTTTGTTGCCACCATTCACCATCATCTAGATGACACTGCTTCTTACTAGCAATAACTGACTACCTCTTCAAATGGGTTGAACCTACTCCACACAGGGAATTCACCACCAAGCAAGTGTTTAATTTTTTACCCATAATGTTATTTGTAGATTCAATTTTCCACACCATATTATCTTACAAAGATATATTGATTTGTTGATCGATACAAAATTAATTGGCGATACCTCTCAATATATAATATGAGAGAAATGGTCTAATGAAAGATTTCAAAAAAGCATTGGTCAAGCTACTCAAAAATATCCTCCCCACGAATAAAAAAGAATGGCATACCAAATTATAGAAGTGTTAGGGACATCAAACTACCTATAATATACCAACTAAATCTATTCCTTAATGCCTAAATGCTCTTAGTTGAAGCAATCTTGACACTTGAAGTCAAGTTGCCATCTTTTTTAGTAACTTCCCAATTTGACATGACTCAAAGGAAAAAAGCTCCTACAAATGGAAGAGCTCGATGCATTTGTTGACGTAAGACTCTAAACTCAACAAAAATTGAGAATTTATTGAACAATGATGTTTAAGCCCTTTGATCGCATCCTCGAAAATTCTAAGAAAGAAAATTTATTTTGATGATGAAGGAAAATTATTCCCCACAAAACTAGAGGCAGTTCAAGCCTAATTGCGAATATCCTTCCGTTCTCAAGAAAGCAAACAAAGTAGAATCCTATGAACTTGTTAATCTGAGTGGTCAATAACAACCAATAAAACCAATCATTGGTCGGCAATTGAAGAAATATAACACACAGATATGCAATCAAGGAGTGATGTACATAAAATCTTCCTCCAAGACAAAAGGTATCTTTTATTTATTTATTTAGATTGATATTATTCTTTATGTCAAGATCAACAAATAAATATCTATATGATTGATACTAAATTTCATATGGTTGCACGAACAAACAGAAGTTATAATAGAATATGAAATACAACAATTTCTAGTTATCATGGAAGTCTCCCTGGAAGATAGGAGGGTGTCTTTTTTTTTTAATTTTCAAAGCCTGCTAAAATTCTAGCTGTAAGACAAGGGTCTTTTTCTCTATATTTATTTGGGTTGATCTCATACTTCGTGCCAGATGACCCAAATAAATATTTAAAATTGTTGCTGCTAAATTTCATTAAGTTTTGTGAGTAAAAAAGGAAAATCAATCTTCAAACAAAACTTAAAGCAAGAGGGTTAACATCTCGGCACACCAAGATCCTTGAAGTTAAGCAAGAGGACTTCCAAATCTACGAGCTTCAACCAATCAAGCAGGAAAATAAAAAAATTCTCCTATAACTTGAGTTTATGATTCAAATGGGTCCAAAGGATGGACTCAATGTAACCAAATATGACCGGATTGTAGATAGCTTTCCTAACTCAGCAAACCAAAAGCACAACCGCAATAAGAAAAAACCCACTTCGTTACTCTAATGACAAGGGTTGTCAAGATTCAAGCTTCTCTGACTTAAAGGAGTTCAGGTGGCTAAGATCAAAGAAAGTTCTTCCAACTAATTAACAAACTAAAATAAAGTCAAATACAATCCTCACCCAAAAAAGCATTTATGTAGTCAAGTAAGAATATTCCCAAAATAAAGATTCAAAATTTTGAAGGCTAAAAAAAGAAATATTTCAAGTCAGCAAACTTCAAGCAATATATAGCTCAGCTCTAAGACTCAAGCAGATCCAAAAAAGTCAAACTCAATAAGCCAAATATATGACTGAACCACTGACAGCTCTTCTTACTCAATAAGTCATAAAAATAGTCGTAATAAGGAATTCCCTGCTTAGTTTGATGATAAGAGCTATTAATTTCCAAGCATATCCGACTTAAAGAATTCAAGTAACCTAGACCAGAGAGATTTTCTTGATTGGTCAATAAGTTAAGGCAAAATTAAAAAATGATCCTCGCTCAAGAAAGAAACGAGCTCAGTTGGATATCAATGCAAAGGAAAAAATCAAGGTATTTTTTCTTTAACAAGTTTGATAAATACAAAGAGAAGACCAAATAAAATTCCCCTTCATCAATAAGTATGTCAAATAAAAAAACACAAGATAAAAGCCATGCCCATTTCCTTGATAAGTTGATAGAGACAAATTAGATCACACCATTCATAAAATCTATTAAAACATAAAACTAGGACAAAAGTAACTTCAAATCTCAAAACCACGCCAAAAAAAAAAATCATCATCAACTCCATTATTCATAAAGCATCAAACAAATGACGATCTTCGTTGGCTTAACAAGCTATTAGAGCCAACCAAAAGAAATTTAAATTCAACACCCAGACACAAAGTTAAATCTACCTCAATTTGATAAGAACTACCTCAATCATCTCCCATGTAGCAAAGTGATCAATACTGACTTATCCAAAATATCAAATTTATCAAGGAAAGATGCTCATATTGCCTGAACAATTGCAAAGGAATTTAGAAAAATTTACCCACGAGCATGGTTAACAAAATTTTGACATACTCAAGCAATCAATATTTGAAAGAAAAAGTCAATAAATATAATAATTTATATTTTTATCCAAAAAATTAAACCAAATCCCCACATCCAAATCCCAAAAACACTACGTCATTCATCTACAATGTTGCATAAGATTATGTTCTCATCCTTCACCCATCAATCATCCATCTCTACTCATCCTTACCCACACAAAAAAACTCTCATTAATCTCCCATTCTCCCTCTCTATTTGCTCCACATGCCTTGAACTCTCTCTCCTTCACAAAAAGAAATAGTGGGTTACCCTCCCGAATAATTTTTCTTTTATAATGCTCTCAGCTCAACTCCCTTCTCCCTCTTACAATCTCAACAAAAAAGCCTTGACCTCTTCTCACTCTCCCAATATAGTTGGAGACTGTCATTTCCTCTACAACCAACCATAAACCACCATTTCCTCTACATCCGACCATCAAACCACCAACCTTTTCTCCGACCAGATTCCGACAACGAACCTCGACGACTCTTCTTGCATACAACAACTACGCTACTCCTTTAATTGTTGGCAAGCTACCATCGCCAATTTTGCTCTTAGATCTCACTTAAATATTGCTATCGCAGTCCCAACAAACTCTGACCTTATATAACTTTGACGCTCTCAACAACCTTCAAATCGTCATACCTCATCACTCACCCATCTACAAGACATCACAGTTGCTGCTTCACCTCTCTCCAAGCTTGTCAAGAAGCCTCCATAATACTACTACTCTAAACTTTGTCGGACAACTTGTTTTTATCACCTTACACGGGCTTCACCACCCTATTTTCTCTCCATCCTCACCATCCTTTTTTCTCAACTTCGTTTCCACCTTATATCTCTTATCTTACTCTTTCTCTCTCCATTACTATTCTTATCCTCTCTCTAAAAAAGTTGAGTTCCAAAAAAATAGTATAAAAAATAAAGAAGAAAAACAAAAATAAAGAAAAGAAAATAAAAGAAAAAGAGAAGAAAGAAAAAACATGTAGATCTCACAATCTCATAGTCTCACCTCGCCGATCAAGATAAGCACTCATGTGTGTTGTTTCAATGAGGTGGGAAAATCCAAACATAAATTCTAATGTGTATAATTCCAATGGGGCAAAAAAAATCTTATGTTCATATTTTTTTTGTGCATGTGATGAAGGCCCATATATCCAAAACATAAGTATCCATGCACATTATTCCAACGCAACGGGAGAAATAAAAATAAGTACTTATGCACATTGTTCCAAAATGGCTAGAAAATCATGCTATGTTATTCTCTCGTGCAGTTGATGAAGGACCATGCATGCTTTATTAAGCATAGGGGGTATGAAAATCACGATCATAATGTCTTAAGTAGTAACAATGCATCCTTTTTTAAGTATAGTGGGAAGGCCTAGCATTTTTTATAGATGCCCCCTACATGAAAATAAGACTCATAGGGTACACGATAGCTCATTTAAAAGCATGAACAAGTCCTTTCAATGAACACTTGGAATGTGCTACATCTTGCATGAAAGAATTGAAAATAATTCAAATAGAATAGAATTCAAACAAGAATTATATGAGATTTGAAAGCTCACCAATGAGCACGATTAGAACTCCTCACCGACTATTTAGAGTTGTTCGAAGCATGAACTGCATCCACATTAAATATAACCAAGCAACCATCACTGCCTTCAATGCACAATGAGAATCTAACTTGAAATATTTGTAACCAAATCCAGAACAAACATGCAAGCAGACAACATGGAAAGTTTGCATGCATCTTAATGATAAAACATTCACACAAACAACCAAATCCAAATAATTTCAAGTTTCCTATGCACATCATCAAGCAGTAGTAAACTCAAATTACACCTCAAAAGTTGTGCAAGCACTTAAATACGCATGCATGTTCTCTAAATTATGCTCAATTCTTTTAAATTAAAACCATTTGCATGTGCCTGATAAACCTACTAAAAGAATTTAAATCATCTGCATGTGCTCCAATAAACATACTAAATCATAAGAGCTTAACCGCTTGCTCCTTTATGAAACCTCGACCCCTATAATTAAAATAAATTATGTTTGGGGCAATATTCTTTTAGGGCAATCTAGCACACATACTTTAGCCAGCCCTTGCGAGCCTATAGAATCCATTGACCCACTACGCTTGGTCCTCTACCACATTGAAGCCCACAACTACTTCGACACTACTATGTTTTGCATCATATGCACTAGCCACTATGCATATCACATTAAAAGACGCTAAACATCATAAGCTGAACGTCTCTAACATCCGCCCCAAATTATCAATTAAATGTGATATAGCTTTATAGATAATATCTTGATGAATATATGCTCTGCGGTGTGTTTCACAGACAGTTGCAATTTCAGCAAGCAATAAACCTGCACAACACATCCATTAATAGCTGTTGCCTCGGTATAGAAGTCATTAAAGATGTTCAGAAAGTTAAACAGCAGCACAGATTTGCTAAACTTACCAATCAACACTACGAGTTGTGAGCAAGAACAGTCTTTCTAGTTCAAGAGATGAAGCCATCTTCTCAATATAATCTGCAGTTTACAGAAATCTTGATTGGTATGCATATTCATTAATACGTTAAATCATTAAACTCCTGAAATAAAAATAGGCTTCTCTAACAAGCTAAGCTGGACTAAATCATTACCTTCAAATCAAAATGGTAAAGTGTTGACTAAATAGCTCTATTACATAAACTAGGATATAAAATCTTTTTTTCTTAATCTATGTGCATGAAACGTCTTTCTGGAAAACAAACATGTAGGTAGAAATTTGACTTTTAAAATTTGTTCAATATGGCTATTTCATTGGTTCCCAAATTGAACGCCCATGCATGATTGTAGAATTGCTGCAACCAAATTGCAGGCTGCACTAAGTATTACTGTAGTAAAAACTTGTGCCTCATAATTCCTATAATTGCAGTTTACAACAGTTAGTATGGTCACACTATCTTACCGAGCACTAAAAAAGTTAAATTTAAGAATTTCCAGTGAACCCGCTTCGCTAGTGGCACATCGGGACAGTTCATAATTTAGTTTTCTTCATTTGATTAGCAGGCATTTCCAGCAGCGAAGTGAAATAATAATCTTCAACGTCCTGGGTAATTAATAACATTTCTTATCCTTCAGAATAATCCTCAACTTCCTCGCACAGCTGACTGACCACCCCTGGGCTGAACACACAGGATTCTGAGCATGTAAATGACCATTGTTGCAGCGATTTAATTATTTAGAATGTATATCCATGGTGACATGATTAGGGCTGAGAATTTGGCTCAAAGAACACTTGAAAATCGGATATTCATTTGGCTCAAAAAAATTTTTTTTAGTGAACTAACAAGCTAGCCCTAGCTTCAATTAAAATCAAATTGAGACTCGCATAAAATCAATCTAGAACAAGATCTAACCCACATGTATATGCAAGGATGAGTAAATTTATAAATATGTCTTTATATGTAAGATTCTAAAGCATATATGCACCAATTACGTAGTTATAATAACTATTTTACATGTTCTTTAAAAAAAGATCATAAATAAACTAAAAGTGGTTCCAAATGAGCACAAGTAATAATAATTTTAATAGTCTTACTTTGTCACATTAATAATTTAAAATAAAATATATTAATGATAAATAATATTTATTGAATTGTAGTAATCATACTTTTAATATAATTTATCATAATATAAATTGTTTTTATTATTTCTATCATAATTATAATTTCTATATTATATTGTGAACTTCTTATAATTATTTAACATTATATACCAAGTATATTACATGATGGTTAAATATTTTTATTATTTTTATAATTACTTATCTAACATGTAGATAATCATATAGAAATCATAAATAGGAATTAAATAATTTTAATCTTTAAGTATATTTTTTAAATAAAATGATTTGTAGTGATAGGATGCTTGCGAAATAAATATTTGAATAATTTGGTTTATAGCCTAAGTGTTTTCACAATTAACATAAATCATAAATACAAAGACTGTCTTGTTCAACAATGACAATAAATAGAAAGTATAAATGTAACTAAATCATTTTAAGTTTTAAATATATTTTTTAAATAAAATGATTTGTAGTGATAGGGTGCATGCGATATAAATATTAAATATTTTGGTTTGTCGCCTAAGTGTTTTCACAATTAAAATAAATCATAAATACAGAGACTCTTGATCAACAATGACAATATCAAAAATAACACATTACTTGCTATGATTTTCACACTACTCCCTATGATTCTCGTCACACTTCAAGGACGCACTGATGCAATCTCATACTAAAAGCAAGACATGCCACCAACATGTAAACTCTTTTATCTCTAACAATGGCATTCTCTGATCCCTTTATATATTGATTCTTCTGCTTTTGTTTTTCGAGTTGCTAGATTTCATGATTTGTATTTTGATTTATGTTTCTCAATACTTCGTCGACTTTATCTTGCACACGAAAGGTGACATTACTCCATTTGCGGTTTCTATGCTTTTATATGGTGCCCGTGCCCCTTGCCTTCTGCAATTTTGATTTGTACGACATGACAATCATTGGAAAATTTTCAAGTGCAAGTTTTTATTTCTAAGTTTAATACTTTAATTATTGAATATTTGTGTAAATTGGGTTAAGTAATCTGTTAATTATATTATTTATATTCTGATTGTTCTAATCTTTTAATTTTTGGGGCACTTAAACTTACTTGTAGATGATCAAAGATAGAAGAAGAAATGATCATATGTGAAAGTATACAATGCTTGTTGATGCAAATAATATGACAAAACGTCAGTGTATATATTGTGAAAAAATTACAAATTGTGGTGTTTCTCGAGCCAGAGGAGCACTTTATTGGGCCTACATGGAATAGTAAGAATGTTGAGGAATGTTGAGGCATAAAAGGAGGTCAGACGGAAGTGAAATAAAAATTACTTAGTTATCTAGTAAAAAGTAAATGCAACAAAGAATATTCTATTCCGTAGATGAATGATAACGTTAATGTTAATCATGAGATTGAAAGGATGATCGAAGCAATGGGGTAGATTTAACAAAAGGGAAAATGCCGAAAATAGACTTCTAGTTATTTTTATGTATCCAATTTAGTCACAAAGTCACTTTTCTTCAATTTAGTCCCTTAAATATACAAAAATGATCAAGTTAATTCCTCAAGGACTAAATTGGGATTGTGATCAATTGTGTATAATTGATGGACAAATTGAGAACAATTTGCATCCCAATTTTTGTTAATTTGTACATATGGGACCATTTGAGATAAATTGAAGAAATGTGATACTCTATGATTAAATTAGCCGCATACAGATTTTTGACCCACCCATATGCGTCATGAAGCAATATAAATCAAATCCAATTTAAATTAGCTTCATTAATGATTGTTGAATGCAACATTACACAATTAATTGAACGTCGTGAAGTTGCATAGAAGTCATATCGTCTGTTCACAAAATGAACTTCACCGACTTGTTCAAACTGTCGAATTTATCAAGAAAGGATATCTTGAGGGCTATTTGATCAAACATGACAAAAATAACAAACAACAGATGTGATGTCACACAAATTTGCTTGAATGTCAATTGCTCGCAAAACATACTAAGCCGACGAGTCCAGAATGTCGAAATTACCAAAAAAAAAAGGACACCTGTGTTGCTTGCATTGATTCACGAGAGCATAACACAATATTTGCCAGTGCACATTGCAACGACACATTTTAAGATGAGAAAAGAGAAATTGCACAAAAATACAAATACATCATAAATATATGTATATAAGTGTGTGTATATTAAAAAATTAAAATCGCATAATCACACATGACATTCATCTAGAAATCACTCGTGACCCCCATCAATCGCCACTAAATGCCCTATATTCCTTGCTCATGTACCATACAATTTCACAAAAAAAAAAGAAAAAAATTAGGACTACCCTCAACCCGAGGCCCTCCCCCGTCTCCTTTGTCTCCTAAAATCACACGAACCCCTCATCCTCTTAGTCTCGTGCACAACAAACCCCTCATTTCTCTCCCTCTACTAAGTGGCTAAGCTAAGATTTTTTGTGGAAGCATAAATTACCAATTTTAAAAATACCCTCAACATTTTTTACATAGCCTTTGGACCAACATTATCAATTTTTTAATTAAAGTTATTAAAATAAAAAGATATATTACCTGCTAAAGAAAATTTTAACTCTTCATATTCTTCTTACATATCATCTACAATTACGTCGCTTTCATTTGCTCAAGCTTTCCTTTAAAGAATCTCTTCATAACTAAGTTAAATAAAAAACTTGTTAAAAAATATTCTACAATAAACTATAAATAAAGAAACAAAACCTATCATCTATCAAATACTGATTTTTATAATAAGCCAGAATAAACAAACAAAATGTTATAATTACTTTCAAACGATTTTTATAATAAGTCATAAAAAAACAAATAAAATGTTAGAATTTATTTTTAAAATAAATCTGATCACATAATCATCAAAGAGAGAAGAAAGTCAAATTCAGATTTTATAATAAGTTATAAATAAACAAACAAAAGCTTTCATCAATCAAATTTTGATTTTAAGCTATAATAAATAAACAAAATGTTAGAACTATCATTTAAATAAGCATCAAAGAGAGAAAAAGATCAAATAGTAATTTTTATAATAAGCTATAATAAATTAACAAATTGTTAGAATTATTCTCAAAGGTTGATTTTTTTTAATAAATAAATGAGTAGCAAATAGAGAAGAAAATGAGGAGAGAAAAATACATAGGTGAGATAAAAACTCACAGAGTTAGCAATTGGTAGATTGTAGATCTCTACGGTTGCCCCGCTCCACATCTATCATTCATGATCAGAAACAAACGGCCAAAGGAACATTTGCAAAGAGAGAACTTTTATGAAGTGTAGTTGAGAGAGGGATAGAGGGAGGCATCAATTTTAAATCTAAGGAACATTTGCAAACACCAAGCACATGCAATTGAGCCAAATCAGTTATAGGTCCTTCAATTGTACTAAGAGTTTAATATTAAAAATTAAATAAAATGATTAGCTCTGGGGGTGACTAGTTCTCTCAAAAAATGGAAAATTTTAAAAATAAAATATGTAATATAATAATATTTCATTATAATGCATCCTCCTTCACATCTCAACTCTTTTGTCAACCCCTACATCTCCCTCTAAACCGTCTCTCACTTTCTCCTTCATATTTCCCTACCAAATTCTTTACAAGATAGTCTAGGATTAAGATTTGATGCCTCTGACCACCTATTTTTGTAAATCTTGCATGCAAAAAAACACTTGCACTTCTAATAAACACTTTTATAGGTGCAATGGGATGACATTCTTAAGCCATGGTCACCCAAAATGTCTTTGCACATTGGAATGACCTACCCTTATAATATATTGTATCAAAATTTTTCAAGTGAAAAAATAGGTTCACTAAATGGAAGATAAAATGAACAAAGTTCAAAATTCCATAAGATGTGGCTCGCCAACAAACATGAATGCCTAGTCTCTTTGCTGCTCCCAATGAATTTCAATGCATACAAAAATGATGTGTGGCACCTATAGTTAAAGCTGCATATTCCAACCCCCCCCCCCATAAGACCTGCAAAAATACTGGTGCAAATAAAATTTAAGAGAGATAATATTGTTATAAGCAATTTCCAAAATATCATATCACACTTCATACACGTGCAAGCTAGCCTGCAAACAAACATGAATAATGCCGAGAAGCATGTATGTTATGTTAAAAGGCGTGCCAAATGGTCTAAATGTATAAATATTGTATGCATTCCAATTTGAAACCACCTCATCAATGAAAGGATGAGAATTGGAACCACAACAGTTTCAAAGCGCAGTGTGCACTATTATGAAAATCTAATTTGAACCAAGTTGCATCGAAAATTCTGCATCTCTTTAAAAAAAAATGTAAACCCATACTACGATTTAAATTTCTTATCGCACCGCGAAATCAAAAGGTTTAGGAATGCTCCTGATATTTTCTGATATAAATGAATAATAAAAAAGAGAGAATTAAATAAAGAAAGAAAAACGAAAAAATTTCCCAAAAAATAGAATGAGTATTCTTGAATATTTACATTTATTTTGGGACATTCGACTCCTCTTTTTAGCAGAAAATATAAATAGCCCTCTAAAAGTAGCTTGAAATTATAGCAAACGATGAGAAATTAATGAACTGATATGGTACCTAGCAACTTGTCTCCCTGACCCTGTCCACGGCATTCTGCAGACACAGCAAATGACGCAACCTCCCCACACTTCTCTTCAAGAAAAGGGAAAAGAGCAGCACAAGCAATAACAGAACCATCCCGTTCAACAACAACGAATGAATCTAGTTCATTACGTAGCTAGAAACAAAATAAAAGTTTAAATGTTACTGTCAGTGTTGTCTCCAAAGAAATATGGCTTACGCATTATGTATGTGAAAGCTTGCTTAATCATAGTACATTAAAAAAAGAAAGAGGGTTAAGCAGTAAACCTGTTCTTCAGATCTCAGAATCAGTGTACCAGATTCTTCTAAAGGATTGATAACTTTCTTTATACCCGGAAGATCCATGTCCCTTGCCATTCTAGTTCCCTCATAAACATTACTGTAGTACACGGTGCACGCAAAAAGAATTTTTTTAGGTGCAAAAGATAGTTTCAATCCTTTAAAAAAAAAAAGATACAATATGCCAAAAGAATGATATGGTTAAATTTTCACACAAACTTTCTTAGAAGTTCGAGCCAAGTTTGAAGCCTCTTTAGTCATAAGGTGAATTCCACTCCTATTACTAATGCCAGCAAAGAATGGCTGGGGATTTTCACTGAAGATTATCCAAGCTATATAAAAAAAGAAGAAAGAAATGCTAACATGACATTTATGAAATAAAACTCATTCATGGGAATGATTCCATACCCAGCTATCATTGTTCCTCTCCCATCTCTTGTGAACAAATCAAGAAGCAATGCCCCACCACAAGTTCCATCTACTATGTGAACTCTTTGAACTCCACGCTGATTCAAGAGTCAAAGAAAAAAGAAGTTTTATTTATTTAAAATGCTATGGTCATTTACTCATACACAATAGATGAACAAGATCTGCAAGTGAGTTAATTGACCAGCTTCTTCTCGAAAGGCATGTCTTAGTATTAAGCTTTTCAATCTAGCATAACCTTAACTATAAGAGAGAAGCTACGCATGCATCCACATGGATAAAAAGTTGCATTGTTGTTCCAACTTACATATGGAAGGACGCCTGGTAATGTTTAACAAAGTCAATTTGGTATGAGAGTCCCCACAACCAAAAAGCCGTTCCTGTGTTGAGGGTGGTTTAAAAAAATTGCAAGCAATTTTGGAGCCAAATTCCCACTTTCTATGCTGAAATAGCTTCCATTGTCATCCAGCAAAAAAGGAAGAATCTGAGTAGATTACTTCCATATGAATGGAATCCGACTAAAAAGAAAAGGAGGCTTTCAAAAGAAAAATATAAGAGGATCCAAGCCTTACACAGACATCTGAATCCATATTTAACAAAAAAATATTTATAAATAGTATTGTTGAAGAAAATAAAAGGAGGAAAGAAAAGAAAACTCCACAAGCTTCAATAGAACTTTATCAACTAAACAAAAAAAGAGAACAAAAAAATCAATACATTTTGCAAAGAGTCAAAAACCTAATCATATCATAGATAAGCTTACCTTGCAGACAAATGCAGCACTAGCTAGCTCAGCAAAGTAGGGTGTGCTCATCCGTTCTTCACCACCAATAGCAAATCCTTGTCCAATTGACCATGATGCACTAAATTTATCAACTCCAACAACATTTTGAGCATTTGCATAATTCCCTAGACTAAAGGCTTCCGTGGCCATAGCTTGTTTGCCGCTCTCAACTGATTCAAAATTGAAAGGGTGAATATAATTTTCTGAACCAACAACCTTCACGTGGTTCGCAGCTTCATTCTGTTTAGATTTATTCTTAATCATGAAATCTTCTTCTTGAAGAGAGATGAAACGAATAGGGCAGCCCTTTTCATTGACAATCTGACCATCTGTGATGCAAATCAATTTGTCGGCTTCAAGGGCCAAGGCACAAGCAGTGGCAACTTCATGGGTGCTGAAACATTCCACTAATAAATCACCATTCAAGTTTTTAAAAAAGTTGCATTAACCAAAAAAAAAACTATTCATCTATCATTGATCATGAGTGAGAGTCAAACACTTGATACTTCTATGCAATATATTTTTTGAACTATTTGATGTGAAATTATACTCAAATCTCATGTCTTAATAATACAAACTAGAAAGTTTCATTATTTTTTTAATTTAATTAGGCAGAAATGGAAGTTTGGTTCCTTTTCATGTCCATGCAAAAAGCTTAATATAAGAAACTTAACAAAGCTTAATTAAGGCATCAAACTAGCATAAACATAGTTAAAAGTTAAAACACACCACAAGTCCATACAGATTATAAAAAATAATACATCACTAAGCATTGATATAAAGGAAGTTTAAATTGGCATAGGCTAAAACATAATTCAAGAACAAAACACATACATTTTCATCACGAATCTAAACTAGGGTCAAACTCAATATGATGGGGGCATCGACAGGAGATTTCGGCGCGTTTATCAGAGACGACACCGGAGATCGACGGCCATAATGGAGGGCCTTTACTACTGATGAATTGTTGTATCTGCATTTCATATATTACTTGCTTATTTTCAGTTTTTCCCATTTTACCCTTGTGTGTATTAGTTTTCTCTTGTAGCCTGAGGGGCATTTTAGACTTTTGTACTTGCTTTCATTTGGAGCCTATTTATATGGCTCTTGTATCTTGTATGAAGGAGGATGAATTGTGGAATGAAATTTTCTTATGCTTTGTTCTCTTGGTGAGTTCAATATCTTTGAGATCTCTTAGTGAGTTCTTTGTGATCTCTTTGTGAGTTCATTTGGAGAAATCATCCAAGGCTTGCAACCCGTAGTCTCTTGCCTCTCCGCGATAGAAGATCCCAATCAAAGAAGAGGAAGCAAAGAAGCTCGAGCCCCTTGTTGCCGCCGCCCCTAGGGTCACCCGCCGTCCACCCTCTCACCACCGGCCGGCCACATAGCCACCCGTCGACCACCTTCCACCCACCTCCTCTCCGCTAATTTCGAATTGAAATTTGAATTTCAAATTTCAAACTCTTTCCAAATTTGGAAACTCTATATATGGAAAGTTTTTTATTGAATCCAAATTCAAAATTAAATTAATTTAGATATAATTTAAAACTCTCCTAGTCATCATTCAATGTTTGGAAACCCCTCTCCCTCTCTCTCTAGCCATGCCGCCGGCCCCCCTCTCTTGATCCCTCATTAATTATGCACTTAACTCCTTCATTCTATTTGAAATCCAAATTAAGTGCAAATAATTTTCCCTCCAATTATACTAAAACTGAAAATAATTTCAGTTTTAAACTCCCTCTCCCCCTCTCTCCCTACCGCCGGCTCCCCCTTGGCCTCACCCTAATGAAATTTCCATTAATGCTTTAATTGGATTTAATTGGAAATTCAAATCTCAAATATTCTCCCTCCCAAATCCCTTAAACTGAAATTAATTTCAGTTTTCTACAGCAAATCACATCTTTTCCCCTCTCTCTACCGCCGGCCTCCCCTCCTCCTCCTCTCCAAGCCGCCCCTTCCTCCCCTTGGGCTAGTGGTGACTGCTCAGCTTCAAATCCATGGTGTATGGCGGATCCCGCCGTTGATCACGGGCTCTTATACGACATCTATGAAAATATTCACGTATTAAGATCTCCTTTCTTCGACGTGGGGTTTGGCTTCGACAATGTTGTCGAAGAGTACTTAATCGGATTTTACTGATACTAGTGGACTCCATCGACGACCAATTCTCCGACTACACGTGGATCATTGAAGGTCATCCCACCGTGCCACCTCCACCTCCGAGTTCCTTCTCCATGGCGACGTTCATTGGCTCCTCCCTCCTCGTGGCAACCTCACTTCTAGCTTGGACGATCTTCCGCCGCTCAACCTAGTTTCATAGGAAAGAAAGAAGAGGCCTCAAGGTGAACAACTCCTTATTAATCGTTGGATTCAAATCACTAGCTTTTAACTTTACGTTTCCCTTTGTATTGGCTTAAATTGTTTGGTTAATTTTCCTTGTAATTCTTTTGCCTAAGCAAGTTGAACACGTCGAATTCTTGTATCCGATTTTAATTTGAAGCATGATTATATAAACGGTTAAGCTATTATTCAATTTCCTTTTTATCTTGTGTAACTCAACTCATGCATCACATCACAATATATTTATAAACCTAACTTTGTAACATTTTTTTTTAACTACTCAACTCGTGTATTTTCACATGCCACAATCAAACAATTATGCATTTCACAAAAGCAAAAAAATATAAGTTGAGGTTTTATTGACAATTTTAATATTTTGGCAACAGTTTAAAAAATGACGGTGCGATATTTTAGTTATATGAATAGTTAAGTTTAGCATATTATATATATAATTGCGCATACTATAATTATATTAATTAATTCAAATATATATTTTAAACTTTTATTTATTAAATGTTAGCATTTTTGGAAAATGTTGTGTTGAAAGTAAAAATTTGACATAAATAAAATTTAATTTCAGGATATTAATAATAAATCTTAATATATTTATCACTAAATTAAATGAAAACCACTATTACCAATAATTCAATAAATTATTAAATTTTATTAAATAAATAAATGTAATTACAAACTTATTATAATTCATAATACTACCATTTCTTTATTTTTTTAATAACCTTCATATTCTTCCTATCCACATCTATCCAAAATCTTGAACCCTTGGCCTCAACGAAAAGAAGATGTGAGAAAATCACAACGGGAGCTTACTAAAGAAAGGAATTGATAAAACCAACAACTTGTGAAAAGGAAAAGGAGTTCATTAAAGAAGTAGAAACACATGATAAGTGAAAGCCCTCAAATCCCGTAAATTTGACTATTTTCAGGATTTCACAACACAACTGTAAGATTTACTTGACCAAAAAATTTGTTTAGCATGATTTAACATTGATCTTGACTCAGTCTCAATTAAATCTAGCAATCAAACCAATAAAAATGCTATTATTTCTTGGATAAATTCTAAATAATTTTATGCTTCCAATAATAACCTTATATTGTCTTTGTCATCCCTCGCATGCCCTTTCTCCTAAATTACTGTCGAAGAAGAAAACTTTGTCAACTAGATGAGATTATTAAAGAAGTCAAAATAACTTTAAGGCAATCCCATTATTATTTCTCTATTTCAATGAATAAGTTTATTGCTACTTACTTATATTATATGGTTGCAAGAAAGTTTGCCCGTAACTTAGCTATTATTTTGTTTAATCGGTGTCAAGCAATTAAATACTAATTTCATATTTATGGAATTGTTTATTCATTTAGACCATTAAAATTATTTATTAATATGAGAAGCCAAGTACTCATTTGGTTTTCTACTAGTTTATTATCTGATGTAGACAAAGGGGGGGTCAACACTAGTCCAAAATAAATCAAATTTTGGCTTCCCTTGAGTCTAGTAGTTCATCATATTTGAGCTAAACTTTTAGTTCATTTATGAGCTGGACTTTAGTTCATTTATTGAACTAAGGGTTAGCTCATTATGAGCTAACATTTTAGTTCATTTATTATCTTTTAATTAAATATTTTTAGGCTTTTTATGTTATAGTCTTTTGGGTTTCCAATGGGACTTTTGGGATCCCAAGTTGTGGTTTAGTATTCCTATGTATGACCCCTTGGTTTCCACCAAGGTTTTAAGTTTTTTATTTTGCCTCTTGGGATCTCACGGCTGGACTCCTTCTCCCGTCCGTGGCTCTTTGGTCCGTGCGGTTCCTTCGTTTCCCGTGGCCGTGGCTCTTTGGTCCGTGCGGTTCCTTCGTCTCCCGTGGTTGTCTCCTTGGTTCCTGGTTTGGGTGTTAAACCGTGAGCATGGGGGGGAGATTCCTATGCTTTTTAATGCTTAGTTTTATGTGTTAGAATTAATGTAATATGTCTTTTGGTCTTCCCCTTTCATACCTATATATATGGGGGGTATTGTAATGTTTTAAGTAGTGAATGTGATATGTGATTTTTGGAAAAAAAATCTGTTAACCTGCGGGTTGCTTGAAATCTGCGGGCTCTTTCACCTTCTTTCTCATCCCCTCCGGAAATCCTGCGGCTCTTTCCAACCTTTCTTCTCGGTTTATCCTTCGCTCTCGAAGTGCCACTCCACCTGTATCTTTCTTCTCCAAGTGCAGCAACTTTAGGGTGTCGTCATTTTGTTTGCAAGAGTCGTTTGTATTGTTGTAAGTTTTCTTTTGTTTAGTTTAATTTGAAATGTAAGAGTTTGTTCGTCTCTTTCCTCGTCTTTAGTCATTTTCGTCCGTAGAAGTCCGTCGTGTCTTTTGTGATCAGGAGATATAGGCTCCCTATATCTTTTGATTACATTATTACCTCTTATAAGTATTCGTTCAATTAATTTAGGCAAGTTAATTATAAGTCAAATTCGATTATAGAAAATTTTAAAATGCCAAGCATGAACATATATATGAAAGCAATGCATGAGTCCAAGCCAAACTAAATCCAATCCATGATGTGCTTGACTCGACCACATGTAAAGCATAGGTGTATGACTTCTTATATTAAAGTAATATATGCTACATAAAGCAATTCAACAACCACAAATTTTCAAAATGCAAGTTACTAACCCTTAAAAAATATTGACTACCAACCCAACAATAACAACAACAACATTAAGTCTTTGTCCCACTACGTGGAGTCGGCTATATGAATCCTTTTTCACCATTGCACGCTGTTAAAAGTCAAAACAACAATAAGCTTTTATCCCACTACATGGTGTCAACTTCATGAATCATTTTTCTCCATTGTATCATAGTAAGAGTCAAATTCTTATTTAAATTTAATAAAATAAGATCATTTTTAATAATTTCTAACCAAATCTTTTTGGATCTACCATTCTACCTCTAACTTTCTCAACATATGCTGGATCTAATACATCTACTATCCTAACATAGTCATCAAAAGCCGATGTTTTATGTGGCCAAATCATCTAAAGGAACTCTCTCTAATATTATCTATCACTGGAGCTACTCCAACCTTTTCACGTATATACTCATTTAGCATTTAGTCTCTAAGTGTAAAGTCACTCATCCATCTCAACCACCTCATCTTCAATTAACTTAATTTTATATTTCCGTTTTAATGGCCAACATTTTGCGCCACAAAGTATTGTAGGTCTCACCACCATCTTATAAAATTTTCACCTAAGTTTGTGGGATATTTTTCTATCGTACAACAAGCTCGATGCATTCCACCACTTCAACCATCCAACTTGAATTCTCCTAAAAATAACCTCATCTATTTCAACTTACTTTGAACAATAGACCCGAGATATCTAAAATATGTACTCTTTTTTAATGACTAGGCCACCCAATGTCACAATCCTACCACTAGATTTATTACTACTAAAATTACACTTCATGTATTTGAATTTAGATCTACTCAAACGAAAACCTTTAGACTATAAGGTTGAGGCCCATAATTCAATTTTTCATCAACTCTCTCTAGCTTTATCAAAAAGAAGAATATCATCAGCAAAAAGCATACAACAAGGATTGAAGCAAAAAGATATGAGCTTAAAGTTGATCCAAGATGTAATCCAACTAAAATAGGAAAATACTTGGTCATACCATCTTATGTTTGAACACATGAAACAACTCTTATATACATATCCTTAGTTACTTGAATATAAGCATTATTAACACATTTCTTTTCTAGAACTCTCTATATCACTTTTCTTGGAACTTTATTATATGCCTTCTCTAAATCAATAAATATCATATATAGATCCTCATTACTCTCTATATTTCTCTATCAAACCTCTCAACAAGTGTTTATCTTCCATAGTAGACCTATCCGACATGAATCCATACTAATTTAAGAAACATTAGTATCACGTCATAACCTATGCTTAATTAGTCCCCCATAATTTAATTGAATGACACATTAACTTAATTCATCTATATTTCACACACTCTTATAAATCACCTTTATTCTTAAAAATATGAATCAATACACTCCTCCACTCATCAAACATATTTTTAGTCATCATAATAATATTAAAAAGTTAAGTAATCCAAAAATTCCTTAATCAAACTATGAAAAAATAAATTACCATGACAATATTTATGGCGTTCTAATGAAAATTAATGCGAGAAAATTTGGAATCATGAAAGCCAAAGATACAGCTGAAATCTCACACAAAATAAACCCTAGATCATGGCAAAACTCATAAAGTTCAAAGTAAGAAAAAATAAAATCACCATGACAAGATTTATGATATTCTAATGAAAATTAATGCGAGGAAATTTGGAATCATGAAAGTCGTAGATGCAGTTGAAATCTTATACAAAATTTCATGCAATTTCTATTTCATGTTTTTTTTTTTCATTTGTACCCCTATGAGGGAGTTAGTGTTTATTGTAGCCCAAGGGCAATGTCGTCTTTATGACTTTTATTTTCGGTTGGTCTATATATAGGCTTTATCATTGTATTTAAAGTTAGTTTTGATAAATGAAAAAAAAAGGTTGCTCTTTGTTCTCTTTGTGAGTTCATGAATCCTCTAAGATCTCTTTGTGAGTTCTAGAAGAGGAGATCGTCGTAGATCTCTTTGTGAGTTCTACCGGTGGTGTGGTGCAAGGTTAGTAAATCCGGCAATTTCAATTTCCTCGAAGCCCTTCCTCTTTCTTCCCCATCCCGCCGACCCCTTCTTCCTCCCCTACTGTCTTGCCGCCATCCCTACTGGACCGGCTAGACCGCCGGCCCCCTGTCAGCTACCACCGGCCGGCCCCCCCTACCCCGTCCCGAGCTCAGCTCCTTGACTTGGCCGCCGGCTTCCTTCTCCCCCCTCTTTGAATTTCAAAATTTGAAATTCCAGGTGGTTTCATGAGGCCATAAATGCTTTCCAAATTAGCTCCTTGATTTAAGGCTCCAATATTAATTGGATCTAATTTTGAATGATCAATTCAAATTACTTCTAATTGATAACTCCCCATTTTGGAAACGTTTCCTCTCATAAATCTGAGAACAAATTCAGAGTTATTAAAATATTAGACTAGTACATGGGCCCCACTTACTTATAATTCCTAATTCCTTTTTTTCTCTCTGTGGCCGGCCATTCATAGAACCAAATTTCTCTCATATGTTATTAATTGCTACCCAATTAACCCATTAATTTCTCCTAAAACCGCTGGCCCCTCATGAGATTAATTTGAATTCTCCATTAATTTCCCTCCCACTCTGTCTAAGGGAAATTCAAATTGAGATTGCTCATTAGTCTCTCAAACCTCCACCTAACTCAGTCGCCCACTCCCCTCCTCCTCACCACCCGACCCCTTGCTCCACCCGCCCCTTGGCTCCACCTCCCTCCCCTGGGTGGCCTTTCTCCCACCCCCTTCTACCACATCAACGCCACGATCTCCCATGATGCATGGCGGAACCTGAGCTTGAAGGCGGACTCATATTCGACATCTACGGGAACATCCACGTTCTTCGTTCTCCCTTCTTCGACGTGGGATTTGACCACGACAACGATACAGTTGGAGATTACTTGGATCGAATCCTCCCCACCCCTGTGCACATCATCGACGGACAATTTGCAGACTACGAGTAGATCATCGACGGTCGTCATTCCTTGCCACCTCCGCATCCTACGCCTCCCTCTCCATCTCTACGGATAGCCGGCACCGTCTACCTCGAAGTGGTCTCGTTTCTTGTGTGGTTCTTCTTCCTCCGACAACCCTAGACGTAGAAGAGTGATTTTGAGCCTTAAGGTGAGACGATCGCTTTGTTAACCGCCAGATTCTAGTTGGCTATTCATTTTCATTACTTTTTATTGAGGTTGTTATTTTATAGATCTTGCAAACGTAGTTGTAACGACTTGCTTAGGCGTTGTTAACTTCTAAGATCTTTATTGAATTGTCAAATTTGAGAAGTATTAAATTGTATTATCATTGCTCTAACAAAATCTTATTAATCTCCAAGAAACAATTCCTGGTTTCACGTCATCATATTTTGTGTTTGTGGTTTATTTTAGGCTTAGAAAATCATGTTTGAATACAATTAAGTGTCCATCTAATTTATTCTTCTCTACTAAATTGGACCCTTTCATCTAATTAAATATCATTATTTGAGTTTTAATCATCCAACATCAACAACAACAACAATAAGCCTTTATCCCACTATATGGACTTGGATAGTCTTTGTTTATATAGTTGTTCTTCCAATTTTTTTTATTAAATGTTATTAGTGCTTTCCTGTTGAACTATTATTATGATTCTATTAATGTAAAAAAATATTGTTCTCCTTTGAGATTTATCTTAAAAGTTGAGATACATCTCATCATCGCATCCGGTTTTATCAGGGTCTATAGCCTCTAAACCTGGGTGACATAAAGTCGGCTTGAATTTCAATATGTGGGTGTGATCTGCAAAGTGTATTACTGCACTCAAGTTGGTTAAGGCAGCCATATTGCCTGCCCTTACAAAATACCCTGTAGGTAATATTACTGTGCTAGAAGTTACAACTCAAAAATTAAACATGAAAATTTAATCTCAACATTTATAAACAATATGCAATTTTAATTGAGTGAAACATTTCTAGAATGACAGCTCATTGACCATAGAATAACATCAAAAATTTCCTTCTATCTTGGATAATTTAACAGATAACAGATGCATACTTGCAATTTAAACCTTCTCCCGTGCTGGAATATCCCAAATTGCTTACTATAACTATAGAATCCTTCTCAAGCCTTTCTCGTATGCGAGGAACATCAATTTTCTTTACTTCACCAGTCAATCCATAATCAATACCATCAACAACTCCTCTTCTCTGCCAAAAGAAACAACATTTCATTTCGAATTATCCAACAAAATAAGCAAGAAAAAACTGAAAATATGACCAACTTAAACACATGGTTTTTATATAGATAAAAGAGAATTACAGAAAGAAGAGACAATAGCTTTAAAAAAAACATAGAAAACTATCATGTGCAACAAAAACAAAACTAAGAGAGGTGCTTCATTCGTTGTTTTTGAAGCAAGTTATGATTGTCCGGCCAAATACACGATTAACCATGCATCATTGACTGGCTGTGATCACAAGGAAGCAGTGAATGAAAAATGGATTATTAAATTTATAAAAAACAAAAATTAAAAGATAACTGCATGAAGAAGAAATCCATTAGGCAATAATTTGGCTTCAACCTACTGCGATAAACGTCGTCATCCCTTCAAGCTGCTAAAATTTGTTTAGACTTTAAATAACATAAACATAATATTCATATATCAATTAATTTTTTATCACATTATATCAAAGCATTTTACGTATAAAATTTGAATTCATCAGTGATTTACCAGTTAGTCAATGTGATTATCTGTAGTTCTTATGTTCAACATCAAATGTTTAAGATTAAGAATTGATAATGCTATAATGGATTGGTAAGCAGCGATAAATCTATTTTGATGCCTTGAAAGTGATTTTATCTTCTCCAAATGCAATTATCTTCATAATAATGAATGGAGTAGAATGATTTATAATGCTAACTCTGATGAGGTTCATTGCAATAACAATGATGATGCCCTAACAATGAAAAGATATACTATTTTCATTTTTCATCCTCTTGCAAAGTATTAGACAAAGGTTTGCGATGAGGAAAAATCAATAGAATATTTGGGTTCTCAAATTTCATATAATTATCAACATTTACCTACTTGATGCACTGTTTACAAGATTACCTATTACTTACAAGCACAAATAGCTCTGATGGTCTAAGCATCATGCAATCTGATGTGAAACCAACCAAGAATTTCATGGAACTAATAAAAGTATTGCGAAGTGTGCTACTTTAAGGTTAATGAGTCATAAGGCATGATTATAAGAATTTTCAATTATCAATTTTGTCGTGGTATGCAATTACAAAACTTAGGAGATTAGAACAAGCTAAGACAATTCAGAAATTATCACAATAACACTAGATATGCCGTAACAAGATCCAAAGCTTAATATTTAGAAAGTTCACCAAGAGTTACCGTTCTCACTCACACTCAATATATGGCTTTAGCGAAGAGAAGCTTTCAGCACACTAAACGACGCCACTAAGAGGGTGGGTAGCAACACCAACGGCTTTGATCCAAGAGAATGTAGTCGGCGGTGGAGGAGAAGTAGATCGTCCGATGAGAAGCCAAGGAGCTCTGGGTTGTTGAAGTTCAATCGTCTTGGCGAGGCAATAAAGGATGCGGTTAACGTAGTTTTCCACGGAGTCATCGTATTCCCAATCCGGTTTGTAGAAGAGAGAAAGTAGGATGTCAATCTCTCCTTGTGCGCTGTAGGCAAAACCGTGGTCGACCTCAGGGTCACCCATCCATGGGTGGGGGAGGCTCCTCTCTTGGACTCCTTGGGGCGGCGGGATTATGAAGCAAGAAGGGAAAGAGAGGGGGGAGTCGGCGGTGGGCTAGGGTTTGGATGTGAGAGAGGTGGCTAGGAAAGGAATTGGAGAGGGATTTGATTGTGAAATATGAAAATAAAATCAGATTTTAATTAATGTAGGGTTAGGGGAATTTCAAATTTGAAATTAAAGGAGATTGGGAAAGAATTAGGCCAAGAGATTTAATTAATTGGATCCTTAATTGGAGTCCAATTAATGTGATTGGAGAGAAAGGGGGTGGCCGAACCTATGGAGGGGAATTTAGGGGATTTGTTTAATTGGGATTGTGGGCCCAAGCAATTAAATAATTCAAAGAAGAAATCTGAAATTGATTTCAGATTTAAGGGATTAAAAGAGTTACCTAATTAGGATAGGAAATTAGTAAAGGAATTAACTCAAATCTATTTGAATTTGAATTTAAAAATCCCTCAAAATTTTATCTTCCTAAATCAGGAAAACATTCAAGGAAATTAATGAGAGGTTAGGGGATGGATGGGGAGGATGGCAGGCGGTATGAGGGCTTGGTAGGGGATTAGCGGTGGAGCCAAGGTGGGGAGCATGGGTGGTGGATGAGAGAAGGCCAAGGGAGGACGGCGGGTCTTGTGGTGGTGGTCGGGTAGGGGAAAATGAAGGGGTGGTGGGAGTAGAGCAGGACGGCGGTGTGGGGAGAGATGGGAGAGGTCGGAGGAGATGCGAGAAACAAAAATTAGAGCCGCGAACCTTGGACCCTTCCAAAGGTTGACGGGTATTGTGATTGCCCACACCTAGGGCCTTCCTTCTTCTCTCAAACACTCAACATTGAGGGAGACAAAGAAAACTCATAATTTCATTCAATCAATCATCATCCAAATACAAGACCAATGACCCAATATATAAGCCTCATAGAGAAAGAAAAGAAATGACTAAAATGCCCATAGGGCTACAACTCAACTTAGCACACAATAAGGGTACAAACGTAAATAAAGAAAATATGAACTAATACATAAAAAATCAAATATATAAGCTCCTCATCGTAATCATTGATCTACGATGCTTCCGGCGGTAGATATTCCGGAATCTCCTACTAATGTCCTTATCACAATCTCATAGAGCTTAAGATAAGCGTAAGCTTTGAACTGGCGATGAAGCCTTTTGAGGACTTCTTCTACAAATTTAGATGTATCCATTGAAACCACAAATGCAGTTTTCAAATGCTTTTTTTACTCCTAATTGGATGCCCCCACACTATACATATATTATGACTAAAAACCTAAAAAAATGATTCACCATACTTCTCTTTGTCACATGCTACCCTAGTTGGCACTACATCATCTGCCAACATCCCCTCACAAACACCCAAGTCACATTCAACCTTACTCAGAACCCCTAGCACTTCACGTTCACATAACCCACGTGGCTCACACTTCATTTGCTCGACTAGTCGCATCAACTCTTTGGTTGCTCACCTAATCTACATTGCTTCGTTGCACGCTAGGTTCATTCATGCACATAACAATCCATGTGCGATGTCGGTTCCTCACTATTTTTGTCGTGCCTCTACTTTAGGGAGCCATTGCCTCCGAATGTAGGCGGTGCTCCCTTGTTGATTCGATGTAACTCTTTGCTTGTTAATTTCTTCTCGATATTCATTCCATCTATTATGTCAAATGCTCCTCATGGATTATCGCAATGTGATGCATCATCCCTTATCGTTGCCCCTTGCCCTAAGGATTTCAACCACTATGGAATCTCTTTAGACTTATGATCCCATTCTTTTGCATAGGTTGTTAAGGTGATAAGGGTCTTAGACTTAAAATTGCTGCCTTCTCTCGATGCCCCACATATTTTCAATAACAGTCTATACTAACTCATTACAATCTATCATCCTCATTAAGGAACTAATATTAAAGTAACATTACTGTAGAAAGTAAACGCTCTAGGATTAGTTCCTGAAGTAAGATGTTGGCCTCGATTTTTGTTTATTTGTTCTCGAATGCACTTGATTGAGTCGATTGGCCCTCGTCGAGCCCAATTTGAGTTGAATCGACGTCGATTTTGGTTTAATTTCATCAAATTAATGGAATCGGACCAAATTCAACCCGAATCAAGTCAAATTGAGTTCGATCTAGGTTCAAACCTAAACCAAATCAGTTCAATTGGTTCAATAATTACTCCAGTAACTTTCTAATAAGTTTGAATTTGTTCCTAAATCAAGAAATGCAATCGACGGTGTCGATTTCGTCGAAATTCAAAAATTTGCCACGGCCGCAGTATTCAATCGCGTGATATTCTTGTTTTGGCACGGAGCAGGGCCATTTTAGGGAAGAAGCAAATGGCACAATGCCATTTCTCATGAATGAAGAAGATAGAGCGCAAGCAGAGCCTCTGTCTTCGTGTATGGAAAAACTGGGAGGAAATATTAGAGGAATTCGGCTCGATTTCTCATGGGATCGCTCTCTTTTGTTGCTCTTGCCCGAAGGCACCAAGGACGGAAGTTCTACCTCATGCGGCCTCTCTCTCTCTCTCCCCTCTCGTTGGTTCGCACGACACAGGGCCAAAACCCAGCTCTCATCTCCTCTCTCTAGGAGCCACACCGGAAACCTCTCGCCCTCTCTTTGTCTATGTTCATTCCACCCCAGACACCGGCTCTCCTCACGCCTTCCTCTATCTCGTGTGAGAAATCCTAGACCGAGCTCCTCCCATCTCCCACCTCCTTTCTTCACGAGCATCTCTCGTCCAGGTTCGCCGACCTCCAACCCTAGTCGCGCCCATTGCTGCCGCCTCTCTCTCTCTCTCACACACACCCCTTCACGCGACCTGAAGCTCATCGAAGCTGAGCCCTCGTTCTTATTTGCTCACAAGGTGAAATTTCTATACCTTTCCCCTTCCTCCTCTTCTTCTTCTTACTACTCTTCCTCTTCTTCTCTTTTTCTTCCTTCTTCCTTCTCTCTTCCTTCTCTTCTTCTTCTTCCTCGTTTCTTCTTCCTCTTATCTCTCCTTCACCCACTTCTTCTTCTATCATCTATGAACAATATCTATGCAACGTCTTCCATACATTTTTTAAAATTGAAAAATTACGAACATGCTTGATATTATGAAGTGTAAAGATTATGTCATATCATTCTACTTGCTTCATGTTTCCTAATCACTAGCATACACAGATTTATTGTGTAGATGTGCAGATATGTTGAAAGAGATAAGAAGGTGAATTTGTTTTAAGTTTATTGCATACATAGATACTAATGTTAGACAACACACTTATTGTTAAGAAAAAAAATTGTTTGATTGTGTCGCCTATGGTGGTAGAACAAACTTAATGTGAAGTTTAGATCTTTAGCAAATGAAGTCTCAAAAATCATTCTACATATACTTTCATCTTGAATATGAATGAATAAAGCATGATTAGTAGAGTTTTGTACTTAATGTT